TGGAGGCGTGTGGACGGGGTATGAAGGCCTGCAGACGTGTGTGGACGTATGTGGACGGGTAGGGAAGCATGTGGACGTGTGTGTGAGCTTGTGGATGTGTGTGGATTGTTGGAAGTAATTCACTATACATTATTCGCTCTCATACACTCGTTAGTTTACTTTTCTAGATGATGTAAGACACTCGACTACATCCTGGTGTGCTTGACCAATAGTCTCACAGCTTCTGACTCACAAGGCAAGACGGAAAAGTTTCACGTGTTGTTGAAGTGAATTGATATTGTATGCGAGGTCAGTTGTTGTGTATAGGGCGGAGTATAGAGCTTCATGCAGGGCTCCGGGTTCCTGTCTCAGTGTATGCTGGTGCAAGATTACTGGGTCATGTTGTGTCTTTATTTGTCTCATTAAAGTCTTAACTACTCGTGCTCATCCTTTGAGTACGATGCCAAGCTCCTGGGTACGATGCCAACTTCCTGAGTACGATGCTAACCTCCCGAGTACATTAAAATAGTCCAGTGAATAAGTATACAATGGCTTACTCCTTGAATACGATATCTTAACCCTTGGAATATGATGATTTTATTCCCTCAGTACGATGGCATTGTACTCGGGGTTAAATCGTCCTACTCACAGCTCAAAGGGTTGAATATATTCCACTCATTCCCTAGTGGTGATATAACAGCCACAGTTCAGTAAATATCATCAAATAAAAGGTACAAAAACACACAGTAACAGTCAGTCCAATGCAGCTAATTCTGTTGGGAGGATTTTGTCTCTGTACTGTTGAACGTTTGTTGCTGTATGGTAAAGGAACTTAGATAAATACAACGTGTTATAAAGAGAGAAATGTTTATTGTATTAATGTTTGATGATCCCGATAGGAGGAAAGGGAGTGGGAGAAGGGGGAGGATGTAACACGGAGGAGGAGGAGGAAGCAACACGGAGGAGGAAGCAACACGGAGGAGGAGGATGTAACACGGAGGAGGAGGAGGAGGCAACACGGCACGGAGGAGGAGGATTGTAACACGGAGGAGGAGGAGGAAGCAACACGGAGGAGGAAGCAACACGGAGGAGGAGGATGTAACACGGAGGAGGAGGAGGAGGCGGCGGCAACAAGGAATGGATCATACCTCTCCACCACCTGGCCACTAACTCTCTCCATTACTGTGCCACACCTACACCGCCGCTCCTGGCCTGTCACTCGTCAGTCTCAAGGCCGAGGATTTAGACAGACAGACAGACAGTAAACAAAAACAACAGACGCGTGACGGGGTACATAGGTTTACTCTACAAAACGCTGGAATATTTTGGTTATTTTTTTCGAGTAATTAACAGGTATCATGAATGGCCAAAGGTGTGACATGATGGTTGTTTGTCAGGCTGAGTTTTAGGTCATGATGTGGCTCTCGCTTGTGTGGCAGTGGTCAACAAGTTAGCTGGACCTTGTTGATAGCCAGAGCAGGTAGACGAGTCCCGGCAACACGTCCCTGGGTGTAGGTGTGCCAAGCTTGTACCTCGGGCTGGTTAGTGGATGGCATTTTTTTATTTAGTTGCAGTAATAAAATTTCTTGGTATTTAAATATGTGTACTGGGTGTCATTAGCGTTTTGGTATTATTCAGTCAGAGGAATGTTGATATAATGATAGTCTTAGGCGATTATGTATTACGATTATGAAAAAAAACAAAAACACTCTGGTTGGTGTGTATTTTGTGTTGGGTGACTGCCGAGAGGATTTACATACGGGTCTCTTGCTGCTGTTGTAAATGGTTTTATTATTATTAGTATTATTATTATTATTATTATTATTATTATTATTATTATTATTATTATTATTATTATTATTGTTGTTGTTGTTGTTGTTGTTGTTACTGTACACTTCGTTTTTTCAGTGAGGTGGATGGGCGGACACATGTGGGGTCAGAGCCACCAGGGGGAGGGATCCAGGAATTAGTAGTCAGGTTTTTTCGCCAAGGAGCTGGGCGCGTTCCGGGAAGTTTTGTCGGCGAGTGCTTTTATCTGGGTGCTTGTTTTGGCAGCGGTTTTCACGGGTTTCCCACCACCAGCTCTAGGCACTTCTCTGGTGCATGAAGCAGCTGGTAGGCCCTTCTGTAGTCACCTCCGTTCACCTTTTGTTTTTCCTTTGCAAAACTTAATGTATAACCAGTTATTTTTACATTCAATATAAGGAAAAGCCTCGGAAATTATTAAATTCGTGTTTGAAGAAAATTAAAAACAATGTTCTTGTCCTTCGCGGTGTTTTTTTTTTTTACGTTGTTGATGAAGGCCGGACTTAAGGCGGTCATCACCGAGTACCTGGTAACAGAGGTGAGACACTGGTGTACTGTGTGGTGAGAGGCAGTGGGTCCAGGCCTCAGGTGAACCAGGTAGAACATCTCGTCTGGTGTGTTTATGGGGTGGGAGATGACAGGCATTTTAAACGATCATGTCTTGGTGTTAGATTTAAAGAATTGTTTCCCCTTCAGGTAGAAAATCTGATTGTTACTTTTATTGGAGATTAAATATACACTTTTTAACATTGAACACAACACACGTCATGCCCCGCGGTGTCAAGTATCGTCGGGTCTTGGTATGTTGTCAGGTTGTCAGGCGGGATTGTTGGACGACTGTGTGACGAACAGAAAGAAAAGATGACTCGTGCATGTATCGTATTGCGAGGTCTTAGTGTGAAGGAATTCTCACAAGGTTGTTGAGTGTTGCTCCGGGGTTGACAGTCAACACCCAGGTGGAGTAGGTACTTCTTTACCTGGTGTTGGTGGCCGTCAAGTGGGAGTTAATGACCGGTGTCTCGCAGGGTGACAGCCGGCGGCCACTGCACCGCCTCGGGAGCTGAGCCTTATACAGCTGAGAATGTGACCAATATCCCCGTCACGCCCGCAGCCCCCTGGCATCTTTCTCACCCTCATATACGACTCCAGCAGAAGGTGAGAGTGGATCACCTTCACTATCCATCAGAAACCTGTAGGGGTACAATAGTGGCAGGTACATAACTCCTCGCCCTTCACCGCTTGGTAGTGAGGACTAGCAATTGATAATGTGACCAAGTATGCCTGTCACGCTCGCCCCTCCTGGCATCCTACTCGCCCTCCACCACGCTTAGAAAGGGTGAGAGTGGGTGACCTTCTCCCATCATTCGCCAGAGACTTGCAGCACGAATACCAGCAGGTAAATCCCCCCTCACCTCTGTTTGGTAGTGTTGAAGGAGGAAGCCAAACAGAGACGTGCCACACACCACCAACAGCCACCCACATAAAACAGCATTTGGGTTTGTATTCGACACCCGCGATCACAAACAGATCCTGCGCATACATCAAGTTTAGTCCGTTGACGCGCTGGGACGGTGGTGATGAACTTTGGCAGGTGTGAGTGGGCGTTGGTTGAGCGAGTGTTAGTGTGAATGAGTGGGTGTTAGAGTGAGTGAGTGGGTGTTAGTGATTGAGTGAGTGGGTTTTAGTGTGAGTGAGTGGGTGTTAGTGTGAGTGGGTGTTAGTGTGAGTGAGTGAGTGGGTGTTAGTGTGAGTGAGTGAGTGGGTGCTAGTGTGAGTGAGTGGGTGTTGGTATAAGTAACGTAAGAACCCGACCATCATCTAAGTGTCAAGGACTGGTGGCTCGTGTGTGGTGGTGCTGCTCACTCGCTCAACACCCTGGACTCTTACATTAACCAACCCCTTATAACCGTTCAGAAGTCTTGGTCCTCATCTTGTGTGGATAACGAATACCTGTTTTGTTTTCCTACCATAAATACCCACATATTAATTATCTTGACGCAAGTTTTATGAGTTGATTGAAGCAAGTTATGGTTACCTCCTCCCTGTTATCTTTTCCTCCTCGCGTCTTCCTGCTATAATCTGTCACTCCCTCTCTTCTCTCTATATGACATGCACATTTACACGGAAGAACACACACCTTTGTTTATCCACTCACTCCCACGCCCTCACTCACGCACACTCAGGCGTCGGCAACTCTAGCAGGATCCTGGCAGTGTATTCCAAGTCTCCGAGAAGTCATGCAAACTCACACACACACACACACAGAGGAAAGGCGGCGTGTACTTCTCGTGATCTTAAGGAGTCATCATCTTCAGTTTGTTCAGCTGTGAAAGAATAACAGTTACCGTCCTCAATGAACAACTTGGCTGTGGTTCAGTTTGTTCAGCTGATCGATAGTCGTGTGGTGTCATAGTCTCGTATCATAACATCCATTAGTTGTGTTTGTTCTGGGCGGTTCAACGTGTTAGTTTGAACTCTTTCCGTTAGTCTTTTATTGGTGTTATTGGGTGTCAGTTGAAGGTTTTAAATTTAGCTGTGTTTGTTGATTGTTGAACGGTGTTGGAGTACTGTTATTTTGACGTCTCGGCACATTTACGTCCTGGTAGATAGAGACGCCATTAACACCTGTCTCATCTATCTATAACCATTATATTTGCTGAAAAAAAAAACACGCCAAAAGTAAAGTAACAAAAGTAAGTGATAGGACTTTTATTGAGGCTGGAAACAATACACAATAAAAGGTATAGAATAATTTTTTTTTTTAGGTTTATTGTGTCATGTGGTGAAACGGTGCTATTAACGTCTCTCTCTCACTCAACAGAGAAAGTTTAGGATTTTAAAAACTTGTAGAGATAAATTACGTGGTTTTGTATTTTTTTTACTAACTCCTTGATTACAGTGACTTTACCCCTTTAGTACAGTGACTTTACCCCTTTAGTACAGTGACTTCACCCCTTGAGTACAGTGATTTAACCCCAGATTACAGTGACTTCACCCCTTGAGTACAGTGACTTCATGTTCTAGGAATAGGTCACTATTTTTATTAAGTGCAATATATAAGTGTAACCCTCTCGTGTTTTTCCAAAGTGCACCATATAAGTGTATCGGATGTTATTGTAAGTGCATCATGTAAGTGTATCGGGTGTTATTGTAAGTGCATCATGTAAGTGTATATCTCTCTTGCATGTTTTCCTAATCCATTATTATTTCATTACAGATGACGATCGTGTAGCGCGGCAGCACAGACTCAGCACGACTCCCTGCTATAGGTGAGGTGTGTGTGTGTTGAGTAACCTACATTGGTCCACGTATATTCTCTTGTCTTCATTCAGTTCAAGTGACAATTATAATCAGCTTGTGTTCCGAGATGTGTGTGTTGTTGACGAGTCTGGACATGTCACATTATCACGCGGAGATTAAACCTCAAGTGAAAGTTTAACTCTTAACACGATGTTCCCCCAACTCCCCCCTACCCCACCCCAACCAAACAGCAGGCAAGAAGCTAATCTAAACATGACTACAGGAAGTAAATGTGTTCTTAATGTGATAGAAGCAGTCACTCAGGTACTTCGAGTTTTTATTTGCCACTCTCTCTCTCTTCCCTTATTTGTATTTGTGGTTATGCATGCCTGAGTCCGCGCACAAACACGAGCATGCACTACCTCATTCACTCTCTTAACTCACTCATTTACTCACATACACTCACTCACTCATACGCGTATACACACACACACACACACACCTACACACACCTGCTATCAAGGTTTATATTTCCCAGGTTGATTTAGGATGAGGTGATGAAAATGTTGACTCAAGAGTGTAAGACACGACTTGTCAACACAATGACCAAACACTGTGTGAACTCTGCGAGGACACTGACTTTATACCCCACCCTGCTGCTACTGGTGGTGGTGGTGGTGGTAGTGGTGGTGTTAGTCGTGGTGGTGGTGATGGCGCTGGTTGTGGAGAGAATGTGTTGAACTACGTGTTAAACCAGAGAGAGAGAATTAATGAACGAATATTATCTAATAAAAATAGACAGCAAACGAAGGATAATTATACCAGAGAGTGGAAGTCCTATAACCCCCCACCATTACCACCGCCGTCGTCACTACCACCACTCTACCACCTCCACCTTCGCCGCCGCCAGCACAGCCCAACCTGAAGAAGTCACCTTGACACTTCGTCATCCCGGCGTTCACGAATACACAACAAACACTTACCAGCAGGAGGCCCTTCAACACAGCAGCTTGTTGACGTTAATACTCAGTGAAAGTGTCAGGAATCCTTGTGGTAGTAAACAGTCTTTCTCGGTTTATGGTCATCTGGGTGTTTCTTGTACGGGAGAGGCGGCACAAAAGGCTCGACTCTGTTTGGCCTAGTCATAGATTATCGTAAGTGGTGTTTGGTGAGAAGATTAAGTGAGAATTAACATGAACTGTCTTTTCTCACTTGGGGGGGTGAGTGTATACATCGCTCGTGTCCTGTACTTAAGGTCCACAGGTTAACTTTGTGCACCAATCAGTTTATTGAACAGTTGACTTCGTACACAGAATTACCGAGTGTAATTTAGTGCACCGGATGACGAGGTAGACTGCTTGAGTGAACGCGTAATGTATACACGAGCCGGGTGAGTGTAATGGTGGGCTCTGGTGGGGAGGGAGGTCAGGCCCACTCTAGCGTAGATAACTGTTAACTGTTGAACTGTCACGACGTGGAGACACGCTCTTCAACTCCCGTTAGTCTCCGTTTATATGTTTTTCTGATTGGTTAGTTACGAGACCAAACCCATAATTTTTTTAAACTCTTGTCTGTCCGTCCGTCCGTCTGTCTCCATTAATGGCCGTCCGTCCGTCTGTCTGTCTCCATTAATGGCTGTCTGTATTGAGTTCCTGTCTGGTTTTTAGAGCGTAGTCTGATGCTTAATTCCTACCTTTAGTAAATGTTTCAATGCCACCAGAAAGTTGTGTGTCAGCCTCTATGTCGGTCTTCTCTGCCACGAGGGGATGATGTAATATTGACTCTGTGGTAACGTGAAAAGACTGGCGAACGTTCACCTTAAGGGGTCGTATCGAAGGGTCAGAGTTAGCACGATACTGTGTTCTGGTGTGAGAGAGAGAGAGGACGTCAGTCATTCTCAAGTCACGTCTTCAGTGTAGATGTCCACTTTACTCCCCGTAAGGACCACCAATAATGACGTGTATATCTACAGGCATATTTCCTTACTACCTCTAAAGCTCAGATCCTCAAACGAATCCCTCAGTTTCGACACTTTGAACCCTTTTTTTTACGGGTCTCACACCTTAACGTCGTTTTTTAAAGTACAGTGTCCTTTTTTCGCTCCTTGTTGACACGATCAGGAACGTCCCTGAAGGTGTTTATAGCGATTAAGGTGTAAAGTCTCCTTCCTAAAAAGACGACGCTTCCGCCAGTACCGTACACCGACGCCGCTCCCACGCTGACCTTTCCTCTCCACAAAAACCAGTCGTACATTTTAGTGGAAATTGTTGTACTGTTAGGGGTATTTCTTCTCCTGAGTTAGACATATATAATACGTTCTTTTGAGACGGTGTATTGTTTAAATGAATAGCAAGTGATGTGTGACTTGTAAACATGAAATCATAGACTTAAATAGTAGACGTTAATTACGTACTTCCCCCATGCAGTCAGTGAGGAAGTGAAGTTAATGATGGGAATCTAGACAAATTACAGCGTTCCTCTCCTCCCATCAACATTATATTGTGAAAGTCTATTAAACAACAGAATTCGTATTTTTATAATCCCTACCTCGAGCGATAACAGTAACCCCTGTAGAAGTAATGTGTTAAGGCGTACTTCGTATTATTAATTGGATTTTTACTTCAAATATATACGTAACTTTGACTGATTGACTGACTGACTCGCTGACTCACTCACTCACTCACTCATCCATGTAAGAACGAAAAAACTGACTGACTTACTCATTGAGGGAGAAGGTGGATTTTTAATACTACATGACGCAGCATTGTGAAAGGTACTCGTACTTGTTATCTTAGCCACTTGAGCACCATGATAAACCCTCGAGTACGATGATATAAAGATGATAATCCAGGAAGCGAGTACTGTAGCTGTCATAATCTGATTGTTTACATCATGGTGTGTGTTGACTGTCGTAGTGTTGTGTCCTGACTGTCAAACCCCCTCTAGTGTTTGCCACCCCAACTAATGGACCGAGTATCACTGTTCCTCGACTTATACATAGAACAACACGAGGCTATTGAATGCTATAGAAAGTTTTCAGTCAACACACTTCATGAAAACCCTCCCTCCTTCCCTCCCAGACCAGTGATTGAAGGTGGCAGAATACTAGTCATCTTATCAGCGCTACCATCTGAATTATTACTCCTTTCTTGGTCAGCTGACTTCTGGTGTTAAGTTCATCTCCGTCACGCCGTGGGTTTTGTGTTACTACTCCACGAAAACCCACCCCCACCGCCCTCTCTCCTATTTTTTTTATATTAGTTATTGGGTTATTGGTGGTGTAAATTAGTTTGGTTGACTGCAGTGTGGATATGAGAGAGAGAGAGAGATCCTTGAAATAATATACAATAAGTTCCTCTCTAGTTATAACAAGAATTACTTGGTAGTTGATTTAAGTCGCTGTTGATAATGTTACACAGGAAGTATCAACCAGTTAAGTCGAGGGAAGATAGAGATCTGGCGTTAACTTATTGGCAGATAACAATTGAAGAGTAAACTTGTTCTGTATTGCGGGTGATATTTCTATTTATGTACACGACGCAGGACGGAGCCAAGCATGAAGAACTTGCCTAAGAATGCTGCTCTTATTTCTCTCTCTCTCTCTCTCTCTCTCTCTCTCTCTCTCTCGGGTAAACAGTTGCCTCGCGGCGCTCTGTTCGGGAAAAAAATAAAAACAAAAGATAAACACTTCTTTTGTATCACTCGTAAATTTGAATTATTAAAGTAGTGTTATGGTTAATCTAATCTGCTCACTTAAGGCCTTAGGTGTTGAAGCGCCGTAATGCATCAAAACAATGATAGAAATTATAAATAGTGGAAGTTATAAAATGATAGGAGGAATGTAAGGAGATGGGATACACAACACGAAAATACAGTTTTATATACGATAAATATTCTGAGTATATCTTCAATTCAATTTCAATTGTTTATTCCTTGATAGAGGAAGCGGGATCCTAGTGCTGTCACTAGGTACCCCTGTACAATGACACCAGAAGCATCTGGCAAGTGTGACAAGTATATACAGTATAAATATTATAAAGGGGCTTACTGAAGCCCAAGGAAGGAAGGATATTCCTTTAACACATAATCAATGTTATTTACAAAATATCTGGCCAGTATGGGGAGGATCATCGTGTCTCCGTCAGGGGGTCGTGGAGTGGTGGTCCAGCAGGCGTCACGGAAGCGTTGTGTGTGGGGACATCTTAGGAGGTAGTGGATAAGGGTGCTGCTGTCGGGTCTTCTGCATAATGCACAAGAGCGTTGCTCAGGGGATGCTTCTCCCAAGCAAAGTCATACCCAATGATGATACGGGCAGCAATCATGTCCCCTTTCCGCGACCCTTTCCCATAGACGTACGAAAGGTCAGGAAGTTTACGGAGGACATCGTACCAGGTGGGCGGGGAGTCCAGGGGGATGGCTGCTTTCCGAGCTTCTCTCTGTTTGCGGCGAATTTGGGTCAGTATATCATCTTCTTTTTAATTAGTATTGTTTGGTAGTTAAGGTATTATTTGAAATAGATTGATCCTTATATATTTAAATCATTTGTTAGGTATTACATTAACATTTTTATACTAATGTTTCCTTTTCATTAATTAACATCAATTGGTAGTTAGGTGTTGTAGTTGTATAATTAGAATATACAATTATGAAGGAGAAAGTTGAGTTTCTTCGTCTCGCACAAAAAAATATACCGACTTCCCCCCTCAATCACTGAGGGACACTTTTTCTCGCTCTTCCCACGTTAATTATACTATTACTTTCACTTAGAAACTATATGCCCTTACTTTCCATTAGGTAAGGTTAGGTTATCATTAAGGTATCAAGGTCATATGAGTGTCACTAATTCTCCTCTCATAAAAAAAAATCTTTCTCAAGAAAAATTATTTAAGGGAAGTTTTATTTGAGGATTATTTTGTTTATTGTTTATTGAGGAAGTTGTCTTGTTTATGAGCCCAGACTTGACTGAAACGTTACCAGGCAAGACAAGTGCACTATATAATTGTTATTGATTTACCTTCGCACTTGCTTG